AGGGGCCCAACCCCCCAGGACCCCCCAAGGCCCCCCCCCCACCTTTTTGACATAGGTGACGTCAGGGTGGTGCTTGGGGGGCATCAGCAGCAGCTGCAGGCGCTCGTAGAACTGGATGCCGTTGAGGGAGGTGACACCCATGTAGAGGAAGATCCCGAAGAGCACGGCCAGCGGGATCTGCCGCAGCAGGTCCCCAATGACGATGGACAGGCCTGGGCCAGAGTGGGGTCAGCCGCGGTGCCCAGGGAGGGGGTGCCCGGAGCCCTGGCTGGGTCCAGGGCTCACAACAGCCCCCCAGCCCCACTCCTCCCTGCCCGCTCACCCCGCCCACACTTGGGGAGGGTCCTCTGTCACTGGTGTCCATGTGGGACAGGATGGCCGTGCCAATTTGGCCAGGGCTTGGGGTACCCAAAGCTCTTGTGGGCTCAGCCCCACCCCCCATGCTGCTCCCTGCACCGCCGCAGCTCCCCGGGGCTGCCCAGCCCCCCCATGCCCATACAGGCCAGAGCAGGGCTGGCAGGGGACCCACAGCAGGCAGGGCTGGACCTACCGACGAGCACAGCCACCAGAAGCCCAGTGACCCGCTGCTCCTTCACCTCCTGGATCTTGGGCTTGTCCCCGGGCGCCACAGCCTTGCTCATGACGGTGAGGGCGTTGGCATGCGTGACGGAGCGCACAGTGGCCGCAGCGAGCCACGGCAGCCCGAAGAGCGCGAAGAAGCCGCCCATGGCCACGATGAGCAGGAGGTCAAGGTGGAACCCAGAGCCCTTCTGCAACATCCGCTCCTTCTTGCTGATGATCAGCCTGGGCACAAGGGCAGACCGTCGGCATGGCTTGACAGGGCTTGGCACGGCACGGCACTGCAAAGCTTAGCGTGGCACAGCACGGCACAGCTCAGCATGGCATAGCACAGCTTGGCATGGCTCAGCCTGGCACAGCATGGCACTGCACAGCTTGGCACAGCTCAGCACGACATGGCAAGCTCAGCACAGCTTGGCACAGCTCAGCATTGCACGGCATGGTACAGCACAGCTTGACACAGCATGGCACAGCTTGGTACAGCTCGGCATGGCACACCCTGCCCCACTCGTGCCCCGCGCGGCCCTACTGGGCCCCCAGCCCTGCCCCGCTGCGCTCACGTGGTGATCTGCGTCTCCATGAAGATGAGAATGAAGACGAGGATGGCAGGGAGGCCGCTGGCCACCATCATCCAGATGGGGAAGTCATTCTTCTCACCCAGGGGGTTGATCACCCAGCCCCGCTTGTCTGGGGCCGTCACCGAGAACCCGCTGGGCACGCTCAGCTTCTGCAGGGAGGGGGCGAGAAACGCTGGGGTGGGGGCACTGGCTCTGCCCCCCGGCACGCAGCTTCCCCAGAGTGAGGTGTGCCACGGGGCGTGGGGTGAGCCGCGGAGACACCAGGACCCGCTGCAGCTGGACTCAAAGGGCTCCCGGCAAAGCAGGGAGAAGAAAGGCGAGATGCTGGGAGCCAGAGGCGGCCGAGCGCCGCAACAGCCATGGTGGGGACAGACAGCGCTGCACACGCTGGGAGCAGCCGACCTGCAGCCGGGATGGCAGCAGCGGGGCTGGGGCCAGGTGGCACTGGGGCCCCGCAGGAGGGTGCGGGGTGGGGGGTCCTGCCTGGGGGGGTTGCTTGGGTGCTGACCTGCGTGTAGGTGTCCTGGATGCTGTAGTCCACCAGCACCATCACCAGGATGGCAATGGGCACCCCAAAGTCCCCAATGAGCCGCCGGATCTGGGGGAAGAGCAGCGCCCCCCCCGGCTCAGCCCTGCCCCCGAAAGCTGGGCTCACCCCAGGGCCCCATGCAGCGCCCGCGCCGCTGTCCCGCCTGCCCCACGCACCCGTCCGGGGAAGAACCGGCTGTTCTTGAACTTGCGCAGGAAGAAGGCAATGAAGAAGGTGCCAGCCATGAGCACCAGTGAGAGCAGCGCTGTGTTGGGCTGCCCCGTCTGCCCCCGAAAGCTGGGCTCACCCCAGGGCCCCATGCAGCGCCCGCGCCGCTGTCCCGCCTGCCCCACGCACCCGTCCGGGGAAGAACCGGCTGTTCTTGAACTTGCGCAGGAAGAAGGCAATGAAGAAGGTGCCAGCCATGAGCACCAGTGAGAGCAGCGCTGTGTTGGGCTGCCCCGTCACCTTGGCTGCGGCGCTGCTGGCTGTGCTGTTGGTTGGGGCTGCGCTGGTGTTCCTCCACGCCTCTGCCTCCGCGCCCGTGCCGTTCGCCTGCAGGCAGCCATGCAGGGGGTGCTCCTGGAAGATCTGTGGCAGCGCGATGCTCAGGTCAGTCCTGCCTGTCCCTGCCCCACAGACGCCCCGGCCCCAGCCCCGCCGGCTCACCTTGGCCAGCTTGGAGAAGGTCTCGTAGATGAAGATGAGGGAGATGAGGAAGGCGAAGATCTCCTGGGTGAAGCGGGAGACGAAGCGCACCAGGAAGCTGCCCTCGAAGGCCACCATGACGAGCACGATGAGGATGAGCCAGAAGCCGATCCAGACACGCCCCACAAGGTACTCCAGCTCGTTGGACGTGCAGAACTGCCAGTGCCATGCAGACAGACGGACAGGCAGAGAGACAGGCAGGTGTGAGCAAGAGCGATGGCCACAGGGCTGGGGCAGAGCCCCAGGCAGTGGGGCAGGGAGGGCCCCAGCAGGAGCAGTGGGGCCCGGGGGGGGGGATGTCTGCCCCACAGGAATGTCCCCCCACCCTGCTCCTGCCCACAGAGGCTCGCCCCACTCTCACCGTGAAGAAAGCCTCCTCGAAGACGAGCAGGGGCCCCGAGAAGCCGATGACAAGCAGGGGCTGGGCGCCCAGCAGGCAGAAAAGCACACCCTGCAGCGACGTGGAGATGATCAGCTCAGACACCCCAATCAGGTCCTGCGTCTTCTCCCCTGCGGGCAGGACAGGCTCAGGCACACCTGGCGGGACAGGGGCCTTCGTCCCCGGCGTCACAGCCAATGGCAGCTCCTACCCT